GATTAGCTAACGGCCGATGATCTTCGAAATTTTGGTCCGCATTACAAAATTGTTTACTAAACTCCGGCCGGAATTGACTTTTTAATTTTTTCATTACAAAAAATAGTAATTTTTAAAAAATAAGCACGTATTATGGTAAAATTAGTCCAGAAACAATTTTCATTAATGTGCAGCTGCGATTTCATTAGTAAAATTATGAGTAATTCCGGCTTGTTTTTTCTAGCCAATCAAATTCGAGATTCTGCCGCGCATTTTTTGTGCGGCACCTAGGTTCAATATTGAGGAAGGTTATACGATGTCTCTTCAATGATACTTACTCATGTATATAAATGTTAGTTTCCCCGATGTTAGAATAGAAGATGTATGCTTTTTGAACTCTTCTCTAAATAAAGAGAATTCTCATGACTTGTCCCTTCCAAATTATCTATCTAAATGAGGTGTGTCCGCAAAATCTCATATCTGATTGGACAATGTACTAAATGCGGTAAAAACCTGAAAAATTGTGCTTAAACTTCACGTTCTTGTATCGCATGGCTGTGCATATATGTTTAAGATTGTCGTTTCAGATGCGTGATTTCTAAATTTGCATAATGTACAGGTTTTAACATGATTTTTTATTGCGCTTGAACTTGTGCTAACCAAATATTCAATTGGCTTTATTCGCAAAAAAAAAAAATAGTTGTACGGTTTTATTTAATTGGCTTTGTTGGTAACAATAAGTTGAGAGAATTCATTCTTATACAGGCTTTATCTTAATTTTTTTGGTATTTTGAACTTATGCTAACCGAATATTTGATTGGCTTTGTTGAAAAAAAAAATTTTTCACGAACCTTGTTACCGATAAAAAATGTGCATATGCGGTTAAACAAATTCTAAAATAGGCCAGAAAGCACCAATAACGATAAAACAAAATCTATTAAGTAAGGATCGGAATCGGTTTAGCCGACTAAAAAGCTGCTATGTATAATCGACTAATTACATCTATACTATATACATCTAAAAATTTATGAAATTGTTTGTTTGTTTAAATTGTAGTGTCTCATATCAATATTTTTATGTTGTATTTCGTTGTATACCAGATATTTATTTATCTGAATTCAACATATAACTATGAAGCTAATATTCGTCCGTTCCTGGTTTAGCGCAACAATGTCGCACAGCTACTTATGGTTATACGGCAAATTAAGTGGCGTGCGTCCGCAAAATCTTGCATGTTATTGGATTATGCATGAGGCGAAGCAAGGGTGTGAATACATATTACCATCGCATGTTGCACCTTTTGCATCCGTTGTACTACTTGCTTCCATATTTGTGTGTTACATCAAATTCTTATTCTAACTAAATGTATAAATACTTGCTTTCGTGATTTGATTTTTTCACAAGGACCTCACTTAATAGGGTGCTATGTTAGTTGGAAATCAAAAATTCCTACTTCAGTAGAAAAAACAAACAAAATAACAATACAGTAGATGGGATTCGGTAAGCTTATCCTTACGATCATTTTCTTGGTAGAATAATTTGCAAAATTGATTTATTTAACAAAATTTTGTAAAATATGGAATAAATAATCAAACTTATACATTAATTATTGGTTACATTAAATTTTAATAAATAGAGGATGTTAAACAAATAATTAGGTTGGTAAATGAAATTTTAAATGGCAACGACCATAATATGGATGCCCCTAATTTACAATTAATATAAATAAATTAGCTTTTAGTTGGCAATAGTTCACTATTTGAAAACGAACAAATTATCAAAAAAAATAAAAAAAAATAAAAAATAAAGTCGCTATGGGTATATAATTTTTCCGGTTCAGATAACTTACCAACTACGAAATTAATTCACAGACCATTATTTTACATAAAAAATTTCATTTAATAGACAATCTAAGGCTAATTTTGATAAGTTGGTAAGCCCAGCTATTTTACAATATTGTCGCATTGCTGCGCGATACTATGTGACTAGAGATCAGGTACGTGTTGATCGAATATCGGTGATCTAATCAATGCATAATATATGAATCGGGTGATCAAAACTTAGTTAAAAATCTAAAATATAGTGATTGCATGAACAATGTAGTAATCATTAGCGATTAGTAATAAATATAAGGCATCGATCCAAATGGGGAAGTGTCTAACTTGGTAACTTTGGAATTTGAAAACTTTGTTCTTAGTGAATAAATTGTTGTCTGTGTGAATACATTATCAGTGGTAGTATCAGATACGATACTCCGGTCATCGCGTATATTAGCCAAGCAAGTAAAGACTTATAGTAAAGATCAAGAAGTTCACGGAATGTTGGTAAACTCCGTGACAAATATATACAGTATTATTAATTGTTATGAATGTATTACATTCTAATTCTTAATTAATCCAACTACCTATTGATTCATTAACTTACCCGAATTTAGGTACTATTATTCTATTCTATTTTTTCTATCTATTGATTACTAATATTAAAAAAAAATGAAAATAAAAATATTGTGAATAACTGTCTCGTTGAAGACCTCCTATTGAAAGAAGTTCATTTAAACTTATAAGTTATAGAAATTGACATGCGTGGTCGAATGACACCTCACGAATAGTGTATTCATTACGAAGAGGACTTTATTGTTTAATCAATCGGTTAAAGGAACATTTAATAAAAAGTGTAAAAAAGCTTCCAAAAAATGTAAGATACTATTGAATTCAAAACTTTGGTTCATGACTTGATCATCTTATATGTATTAAGTTACATTATTTCTCTAAATTCAATCATTACAGATCTTGTCATGTTTAATTATTATATAAAGCTTGTACGAATCAAGGATATCAGTTATAGAGAGAAATTTAGCAACCGAGGATATTTAGATTCTTTTTAACTGGCATCAAATAAAACATCATAATACTCTGTCAAATAAATCTTTAGTTTAAAATAATAGGAGCATTCGTAAAACATGGTGTGATTTCGCACAATGAAGCCCAACTGTAAGTTAATTTGCGTTAAACTTGATCGTTCGACATAACCAAACATCCGTATTATTTCGGGGCGTATACAAATGTTATTTTCAGGTGATATGATTTTCTAAACAACACCCTTAAACGTTAATATGCGAAAATGCTGTATAAACTTTCGCAGGTAGAAATAAATTATGTTGTACGCTTGACCAATTTGATAGAAAAATTTTTATTGATTTAATTTTAGTGAATGAATCAATGAATTTTACATGAAAAAAAATGTGTAATTTACTTGCACTGATTTTCTGAAAATATTAATAGGATGTTCTATAAATTATCAACAAAATTTCATTTACGATAAATTTACAAAGAAAATCAATGTACCTACAATTAAATCAAATAAATTAAAAGTTAGTTACAGTATATTGAAAATAGATATTGGGGTTTCAAATTAATAAATGAGTGGCGCATTTCGACAATAAGTAGGATTTTTTTCAATAGTATTTTTGCTATGCCTCATGAATGATTATCAACGCTAATATTAAATTCAATATAGTAATCATTAAACAAAATTGGGTTAAATGTAATTTTGTATAGTGCAAAATAGAAAATTCATCGAAAATATAAATTTTTCAGAACCATTTTTTTTTTTTTTAGAATAAGATCAACTATAGGGGTAGAATCTATAATAAACAAGTATATACTGTATAAGTTTTAAGGAGTTAAGTAGAAATCTCAACCTTATTTTAATCTGATTTCTGCTTGTTCTGCGACAAACATTAAAATTGAAATTGACTCAGTAGCTTATTTCTTGTGTTAAATATCCAGAAAAAAGGAGCCATAAATCTCTTAGAGACCTAGTATTTCAGTGGCTTACTTCCTAATTCATTTTATCAAAAATATTATTGAGTAAATCTTCATAAATCAGCAGCAAGCGAATATTTGAGATGTAGAATTATGATGTGGATGTAATCAATAAAACAATAAAGAGAGAATCTTTGAAATTTGTTACCTCATTTGACAATATTGTGGTAGGAAAAAAATATGACGTTATGCGAATTGGTATATATATTTTTAATTCCTTACATCATAGCATTTATATGATCTATTTTAATTCGTTATGCGAGATTATCAATTGTCTAGAAAATCTTCGATCAAGAAAAACCAAGTTATGTAACATAAAGAGTGAGATGGTGTGCGCAAACCCTGATTAAATGAGATGTGACCCGATCTAAGTTTACATGCCTGCTTAGTGCTTTAAAAAATGACAAATTTAAAAAAAAATTATAAAAAATTTTGTCACCAAACCCGAGTATTTTGTCAACACCAAACCCCAAATAATTTTGAACCACTGATTTAGACTGATAACGCGATTATCCCATTCATGACGCATTTCATTAGATATATAGATTTATTATAACGACGCACCTTAACCTGGGTAACATTGATAATTTCGACAAAATCCAGTATTTAAACATTAATGGTCAGATTTTCGAATTTTGGGGTATTTTATAAATTCACCGCAATGGAAACTTTTTATTTTAATTTTATAAAATATTGAATTTAAAAAAAAGGGTTGATTGGATAATCGTCGATAATTTAATTTACTGTTTTTTTGCCAATTTCTCTCTTTTATAACACAAAGCCATTGTTCAAAAAAAAAAAAAAAAAAGGTAAAATTGCTTAGATAACGTACGAAGTAACCGCATCCTAATCTTTATTAAATTATAAAGTCAGCATTTAAGACCATTTTCATTATCAAATGATAATATTCTCAACTTGCTCTTTAATATAATGTTGCAGCCGAGGCTGGAAATTTTTAAAATTTCAAGTGTTTATTTTTTATCCTTTTTTTTTTTTTAATAGCTAGGTTAATGTTTAGAGTTAGTTTTGACAATAAAAGAGCTTAAGTGGATTTGGTAGAGTTTATTCTTTTAAATCAAGGTCCCTAATATCAGCTTTGCTGTTTCCAACATCAACCACGACAATTATTAATATTATATTTTACGTCATTAAAGGTTAAAATGTTGATGCCATGAAGTAAATTAAACAATTTTGAAATCAATATGAAAAATTTTTATATTTATCTTTTCTATGTTGTTTCCGCCAGAAATAAATTATTGTTACACATATAGCAATTCCGATAATTCCTATCAAACAACCAACAATAACCAAGATAATATTTGCAGAGGAGCTAAAAGTAGGTAAAAAAGTAGGAGTCGTTGAATTAATTGTTGATGAACTTATAATTAATTGCAAAAAACAATTTTGATTAGTATAATCGCTAATATGTGCATAATCAGGATTATGACATGTCCAAACTTCATTATCCCACCAACATTCCAAGTCTGAGCAAAAATTATGATTCGTACAAGTTACATGAGTATTTCCATCATTTACACTAATATTTGCTAAGTAATTTGCAACACCGTCAAGATTTTCTTTTCCTGTACAATTTCCTAAAGTAATATTGCTAGTAATTGCAAAGTTTCCAACTATACCAGCACATGTCAATCCATCACCATTATAGCAAAAATAATTTTGCCCAATTTTGTTGCAAAGAAAAGTTGAATTATTAGATACTAATGTATCGTTGAATGAAGTGCAATTATCCCATTGCCATGGCCAATATAAACATTTAAAATTGGTACAACAAATTTGTGATATATCTACATTAGCTAGATCACCCCTTATAACAATATCATCACTAAAATTATAATTAAGCAAAGAATTGTACGGATTATTAGTTATAAATGAATCATATAAACAACTATTAAATATTTTTCCAGATTTTACTTCAATTAATCTTGAAAAACACAAAAAAGAAAATAACAAAATTTTCTTCATGTTTCTCGAAGGCAAGAAGCCAAGATATTCAGTATTTTTATATGAGCTAGTCTTTTTATTGTTATATTTTTAAAAAGAAAAGCGTTTAATTAGGAGGTTAAATGGCTGTGAATATCCGTAAATAATTACGTAAACCCCAATAATATACAATAATATATACGGAACACTGTTGCTTTTGTAAGGTGCTAAATAGATATCAAATATGCATAATGTACAGTATCTGGTATGTACGTACGTACTATACAGAAACTTAAATCTCTTAATGCACAGTAACTGCATGGTAACTATTTAGTTATGATTAAGTTTAAAAGTAATTATGTAACTTCTACATCGTTACTATGCAATTACTGTGTATTAAGATATTTAAGTTTCTGTAAAGTACGTACGTACGTATTGTACGTAAAGTACAATAAAATTTAATACTAAAGTTAGAATTTAGTGATTAGACCCGTTCAACCCGGGTGACCCGTCGGTGAGGATGTTAAAAGTTCGGTTCGGTTCGACTCGACTCCAAAAGTCGAGTCTTAATTTAAGTTCGGTTCCAAGTCAGACTTGGAACCAACTTGTAGATTTAAATACAGTCAACCCTCTATATAATCACTTAGTTGGGAGCATAAGAACTTTTTTTTTAAAAACGTGCTTATAAAGAGATTGTGCTTATACGGAGGTTTTTTTTTATATATTTATAGTAGTTTATTTAACAAAATTAAGTGCTTATATAGAGGTGTGATTATAAAAAATGTGACTATATAGAGATTTGACTGTATAAGCCTTAATTCTTTTAAGAGCTGTGACATTTATTACCTAATATTCATTTACTATAGAGACTTACCCCAACATCTTTAGTAATATTATTTAGCCAATCAAATTAAACTAAAGTAAGATTTTTTTTAAACTTTTCACCTTCTAAAATATTATCTAATAAATGTCAGCACTCCAATAAAGCAATTGTAGTTTGTGAATCTGCTATTGCTTTACATAAAATGCAAATATATTCAAAATAAAAATACTATGTGTCTGCTTCAATTTGGAACTAAAAATTCTCATTCATATACTAGATACAGGTTAGTTGACATTGTTATCAATATATTATATATTGTATAATATCAAAAGATATAGCAAAGATAAACACGATTGTGTATGTGGAATCAGCAACCAGGCCCAGCTTTATTATACACAAATAAACAAGTTAAGAAAAGACTTGCTCATCTCTTATTTCAAAAAATTTACTAGTAGCATCTTGAGATTTTGCACTCATCTAAACACTTTTGAATTCTCTATCATGCCAGAAATAGACGATATTCAGACCTTTTTCCTGTAGCTCATTGGAAGGCCAGTATGGATTTGTTGTAACATTATCTTCCCAAGAGAAGTATACAACCCAAACCTTTAATAGGCAAAGTTTTTTGGCATATTGAAATATCTGATCAAAATATTTTTTTAGTTTTGAGATAGAGGCTGTTGCAACAAGTTCAAGGAGAGCTAAAGGATTGGGATTATCAGTCTTTTTTATGGATAGATCACAATAATGATGGTGCTAGTCACCATTCTCATAGATATCTTCAAGATGCCACTAACTAGTGACTTCATAGTTATGTATCTTCATGAGCCAATTTAATAAAACCTGGTACATTTCAGCATTACAAATACTCTCTCTAGCAACCCTTATATTGCACTCAGATTCTACATGCAAATAGTTTGATTGTTTGTAAGAATGGGTTAAGCCCATTGCGATTGTATTTTGGTCAAAGATAGATACAGCCAATTTAACATTTCGAGAATATTTATAGATTTGTTGGCCCATAAAGATATATCTATTTCAGAGAAGAAATAATTCATATATGTAGTCATATATTGTTTCTTTTTCGGTAAAGAATTTTTGCCTTCTGTAATATTTCATTTTTTATTCGTAGGTTGAAGACTTTGCATTTCGTATACTTCAGATATCGATAAAAGTGAAGACGACAATAAAGATGAAGACAACAATAAAGGTGAAGATGTCGATAAAAGTGATTGTTGGTAATCAGTCAAATCTCCCAACATTGTTTGAGCTTTGGCATTCCATATAGCACTAACATTTTTGGTATCGATCTTTACAAGAAAGGTAAAAAACATGAGAGAAAATATTTCAAGCATAAATTAAGTTAGAATGAACAAATGTGAAAAATTATCAGTTTAGTATTACATAACTGATTCCTCCTCCAGAATCAGTAGACCTTCATCAAAGAAAATACTTTTCTAATGAAAACTTGATGAGAGTATACTCTCCCTTGTCAGGATGTAGCTAACAAGTGGATGTAAGAATTACTTGCTGAGGATACAACTCACTCTTGTCAGGACGTAGCCAACAAGTGGTTACAAGGATTTCGATAAAAGCATATTTTAACTTCTTTTTTACATATTGACTTAACATTTTTGTTTGCAAAAGTTTTTTTGCGTGATCACGAACCGTTTGCTGAATTGTTTGATTATTGGAAATATTATTTAATATTTTATAAAATGTTCGGTGTGTGTTGTCCTTGTCTACAGAATTATTACTATAAATGTTGCAGACAACAAAATGTTCAAGCGACCATATTTCATATGAAAATATTTCAAAATATCTGGTGCTTAAATCAAAAGATGTAGATAAAGAAACTATGATATGAATGTGTTCTTTTTCTGGAGTTTTGGGCCAATATTCTTTGACTTTTCGAGTTGAGAGAAGTTCATTATCATCATTTGAGGAAAGGTTATCTAAATTGCCAATATTATTGTCACGAATTTCGACCTTCCATAATTTAATGTCTTTAGATGGTACATTATCAAATTGTGGGTGAAGCTCTGATTTAATGACTTTCTTGAGATAGCTAACTAGCATGTTACTATCGATATCAATAGCAAAAGCTCGTGTAATTGGCTCTCCTCGAACAAGGCAAAGAAATGTAATCGACATGTGTTATGTGTAAAATTATGGGGTAGTTAATGAAAAACTCTAACAAAAAATATGACAAATCGTATAGGTTAACTTACTCTCTGGCCCTTTTTATAAAAATCAAAGAGATGCGTCAAATTTTCGACATATAAAGAGTTCGTGTTTCTTTTCCTCAAAATGGATATCGTCATGTGGAATCCGCGTAAAAAAATTTATGCATTCTGGTTGGCTGTCGAAATTTTTTAAGTCCAGGGAGTTCAATATCACGTGTGAAGATTAAATTATGCCGACACAAAATCGCTAGTTAGCCCTCGAAGTTTCATTTCTCCTTACAAAATCGTCATATTCACATCGCTTATATGGGGGCTTTGCAGTAAAAAGGGCTGAAACTCGGAAATATATAAATTTGAGATTTATAATTGAAAAATGTAGCCTGATTCGAAATTTATTTGAATCTTGAAAAAACTCATTTTTGATTTTTGGGGAGTTTGGGCCCTTTCTATTGCAAAGGCCCCATATATTCTATCCGCTACTTACTTTATAAACTTTCGTTATTATATAATTACAAGAAATGCGCAATTGTTTAACTATATACTGTATATATATATATATATATATATATATATTTCTTTCTCTTTTTT